TGATGCAGAAGGAGTCGGCAAGCTAGAAGACAAGGAAGTGGAAGTCGCCCAAACAGAATAGCAAAAAGAAAAACAGAATTTTAAAAAATGAAGATAGTTTAAGGGACCTCTGGGCAGCATCAAGTGTAACAATATTCAAATCATAGGGGTCCCAGAAAGCAAAGAGAGAGAAAGGAACAGAAAACCTATATAAAGAAATAAGCGCCCTGGCTGGTGTAGCTCAGTGGATTGGCCACAGGCCTGCGAACCAGAGGATCGTGGTTTGATTCCCAGTCAGGGCATATTCCTGGGTTGCAGACCGGTTCCCTGCAGGCCAGTTCCCAGCAGGGGATTCATGAAAGGCACCCATACATTGATGTTTCTCTCCCTCTCTCCATCCCCTCTAAAGATAAATAAATAAATAAAATCTTTAAAAAAAAGAAAATGGCAAAAAAAAAAAGAAAGAAAGAATGACTGAAAAATTCCCGAAACTGGTGAAGCAAGCAGATATCCAGGTGCAGGAAGCACAGAAATTCCCAAATAAGGTGAAACCAAAGAGGCCCACACGAAGACACATCCTCACTGAAATGCCAAAAGTTAAATCAACAAGGGTTTTTTTAAACTTAATTTGGAAACAAACAAAATGAATAAACGTATCTTTCAGCTACAGTACTTTCACTATCGTCAGCCTGAAGATAGTAGGACCAAGAGAAGTGAAAAGAAAATTTAAATTGGACTTAATTGGCTAGTTGGTTTACCATTAATAGTGATGTGGGCGTAGTAACTTTGAAACAAATTTATGTGTATTGTAGAATTGAGCAAAGGAGTAAATACATTGATCTTTTTGGGAGCTAGGCTTCTCGTGGTGAGAGAAAGGAGCTACAAACACAGAGTGGTGAAAGGCAAGAATTACATAAAGTGGCTATTTTCTCCAGTCTCTTCACTGCAAGAACACGAGCAATGATGCCTCAGTGGCAATGAACACAGCTAGTTCCAGATCTTGAATTCTATTATTGCTCCCCACTAAAAAGAACCAGGGATCCTTAGTAAAGTGGGGGACACCAGGGCTGGGGCTGGAAGAGTAAGCTTAGATCACACTGTGCCAGAAGTTAAGACGTGCTCAAAGAATGACAGGCACAGAAGCCAGCTTGAAGGTGCTCTTAGTGGCCAAACCTGGGACGAGCTGAGCATCAAAACAGGTAATGATAGAAATGGATTATAACCCATTGAATAAAATCAGAATCATGGATCTATTTTGACAGAAGTAAATAAACAAGGGAGAAGGGAAGACCCTTATGGTAAAATGTTAACTAATAAATGCATAAGGAATGATAAGAGTTTTAAATCCACTATTTGACAATCATAATAATTTGATTCTGGCAAAATTCATCAATGTACTGTAAGGAATAGGATATTCATATAGCTTCAGATAATTTCCCCACAGGTCAGTTATTAATTACAAAGGGGGAAATAGTAACCAAGCAGGGAAATTTGGAGGACTTGTCTAGGACTTGGCGATCAAAGTTAACATCATCACTATGGGAACAAACCACAATCACCTGCCACCTGATAGGATCAATGAGAAGAGTATTATGTCACTTCTAGGGGATTCCTGCCACAAATGCACAACCTGAATCTAATGAACTATCAGACAAATCCAAATTGAGGGACAGTCTACAAAGTAATTGGTCTATCTCTTCAAAATGTCAGAGCTGAGAAGAACAAAGAAAGAAGGATTAAGACTGATCCAGACACAAGAAGGCTGATGAGATGACCAATGAAATGTAACAGGTGACCCTGGATTGGATCTTGATCCTGAAAATTCTTCCCACAGAGGACAAGCAGGACAATGGGTGAAATCTGAATAAAACCTGTAAGTTGAAAAACAGCGTTTTATCCATGTTAATTTTCTGATTTTTGACTCATTTATATTGTGGTTATATAAGAGAATGTTCTTGATTTTAAGAAATACACAAGAAAGTATTTAGAGGTTAAAAAATCTGAGCATTTCTCTCTGCCTGTACAGCTACTATCCTGCTCCAAATCATCATCATCTTTCACCTGTGTTATTTTTATTTTTAAAAATATTTTATTTATTTATTTTTAGAGAGAGGGGAAAGGAGAAAGAAAGAGGGAGAGAAACATCAAGGTGTGGTTACCTCTTGTGCAACCTCTACTGGGGACCTGGCTCGCAACCCAGGTTTGTGCCCTAACTGGGAATCGAACCTGCAGCCCTCTGGTTCACAGGCTGGCCTGGCACTCAACCAACTGAGCCACACCAGCCAGGGCTTTGCCTGTATTATTTTAATAGCCTCCTAACTGGTCTCCCTGCCCATGTCTCTATTCAGTGTATTTTTAATGCAAGAGCCAGAATGACTGTTTAAAACATGAATTAGATCATGTCACTTCTCTGCTCAAAATCCTCCAATGGCTACCTAATCAACTTAGAGAAAAGCCAAAGCCCTTACAATATCCTACAATGCCCTGCACAACACGGATTCTGGTTGCCTGTCTGATCTCATCTGTGATTACTCTTCCCCTTGCTCTTTACATCCCCGCCACAGTGGCCTCCTTACTGTTCCTCTTAACACATCAGGCATAGTATACACTTGCCATTCCCTCTTTCTGGATCTTTATTCCCCAAGTGTCTACCTGGTTTACTCCTTCACTTTCAGTTTTTTTAATTTAAGTGTTATCTTATCACTAGGCCTTCTTTGATTGTTCTATTTATTTTTTAATTTTTATTTTATTGATTATGCCATTACAGTTGTTCTATTCCCCCCTTATTCCCCTCCACCCTGCACACCCCTCCCCCACCATCCCCCCTTTTGTTTATGACCACGTGTCTCAAGTTCTTTAGATTCTATATTTCCTATACTATTCTTGCCCTCCCCCATCTATTTTCTACTTACCATCTATACTACTTATTCTCTGTATCTTCTCCCCCCTTCTCCTCCTCCCACTCCCCTGTTGCTAACCCTCCATATGATCTCCATTTCTGTGGCTCCCCTCCTGATCTAGCTGTCCTTTTAGTTTGCTTTTGTTTTAGATGTGGTTGTTAATAACTGTGAGTTTGCTGTCCTTTCACTGTTCATATTTTTTATCTTCTTTTTCTTAGATAAGTCCCTTTAACATTTCATATAATAAGGGCTTGGTGATGATGAACTTCTTGAATTTGATCTTATCTGAGAGGCACTTTATCTGTCCTTCCATTCTAAATGAAAGTTTTGCTGGATAGAGTACAATCCAGCAACCTGAGTGGCCCTACCCTGGTGAACACCTAAGACTTCGCTCCTCACCCAGTGGCGGGAAGCAGGAGAGGGGGACGCCATTTCCTGCTCTGACCCGGCCCCCACATATAGCGTCACAACCCAGTGACCCCGCCCTGGTGGCCTCACCCCACACCTAAGCCTCCGCTCCTCATACTTAACGGGCGCAAATAGACCAAAAATGGCTCAGGAAGATCTCAAAGCCCCAGAGCCCATAACTCTAAGTGACGAAGAAATAGCAAAACTTTCAGATGCACAGTTAAAAACACTGGTGATCAGGATGCTCACAGAACTGGTTGATTTTAGTCACAAATTAGAGGGACATATGAAGGTGAAACTAATTGAAATGAAGGGAATTGCACAGGAAACCAATAGTGATTATTCTATTTAAAATTTCAACCTTCTACTACCTCTATCCCCCTTCAGTTTTATTTTTACTAACACCAATCACTAACATTTGTACATTTTACTTATTCATTGTCCACCTCTCCTCCTATGCAGAATGTAAATTCCAAGAGGCAAGATATGCACCTTTTTTATTCACAGATGTATCTTCAATGCCTACAACAGTATTTGACATATAATTAGTTTTTCAGTACATATTTGTTGAGTAAATGAATGAAAAGATGGTGAAAGTTTTCATACTTGAAAATTTTAGGCATGATAGGATTTAGATTATCAGCATGTTACTAGAACTCTGTCTTTATCTCTTAGCTGGTTTGCTTTCCCCCTGTATTAGCTTCATTCTTAAGCAGGCTCGAGGTGTGATGGGTGATGGCACGATGGCCACCAGCAGCTCCAGCTTTACATTCTAACAATTCAGCAGCCTTAATGGAAAGAGAGCACCTCTTTCCTGATTGCTCTAGTGAAGGCCTTAGAAATGAGTCGTATGCTGGGCTTGGGTCAAGTTTTGATCCCTGAAACAACCTCTGAAGGCAGAGGATGAAAATCCTGTGATTGGCCAGGCCTGGGTAAAGTCCAGCTCTACCTGGAGTGAGAACATAGTAGAGATAGTTCCCTAAAAGGAAATGGAGCGCTATCACCTGAGGAAGAGGGATGGCAGCTAGGCTGGCAGGAACAACAGATGTCCGTCACATCATCAGGGATGACCCACCAGCAGATCTATCCCAGAAGAGCATTCTTCTCTTGCCCCTCCACTTTCACATCTAGCCAGATCAACCTCCGAACTTTGGTAAGGTTCTCTCCTAAATGCTTTAACACCTGTTTCTGTCAGTTAAAGTCTTCCTCATCCTGCAATGCCAGCTTCAAATAAGATCTCCCTTATGATGATTCCATACAGATGTAGTCTCTTTCCCTCTTCTAAGAATCCTGGTTATTTCTACTTCTTTTGCAGTTATCTTTTCACAACTTGCCCTATATTTTACTTATTTGTATACATTGTGAGCTCCTTGTGGAAACGGACCAGGTCCCGTTTCCCACTGTCCAAACGTGCACTTCACACCCTCTGCAACCGCATTGATTAGATGCGCACCGGGGCCGCCAGGGCGCGCTAGGCGCCAGGCGCGACGCTGTAGGGGCGGGAGGCACTGAGATTGGCAGGTGCGACTGTCAATCACGCTCAGGCGGGATTAGGGCGGGAGGAGGGGCCTGCATGAATGGGGCGCGCGGCGAGCGGGCTGCAGTCGGCGCTCGCGGGGGAAGCCGGAGTTCTGGCCTGGAGTGGGTGGGAGGAAGCGGAGTGGGGGGGGTGGGGGGCGGGGGAGGAAGGGAAAGAGCGCGGGGGGCGGGGAGGGGCAGCGCCGGGGTGGTGCGCGGAGAGGCGAGGCGCGGGTGTGAGTGAGATCCTTGGCCGCTGTGCCGGTCGTTCCTGTGCCGCTGTCTGCTGCGCCGCCTCCGCCCTCCTGGTCGCCTGCGGAACCCCGAGGAGCCCCCGACCGGGCCGACGAATCAGAACTGGGGAATCGGCGCTGAGAGAGGAGCCGGGTCCAAGCGGCCGAGCCCAAGGCCCCCGGGGGTGGAGGTGGGGGGCTGAGGCCCCCAAGGGGGCCCCGCCGCGATGGGCAACCTGGAGAGCGCCGAGGGGGGTCCGGGCGAACCGCCCTCTGTCTCGCTGCTGCCGCCGCCCGGGAAGATGCCGATGCCTGAGCCCTGTGAGCTGGAAGAGAGATTCGCCCTGGTGCTGGTGAGAGCCGAGCCCAGTCCCTTCCCCCTTCTACCGCCTCCCACCTAGGTCCCAGAGCCCGGGGTGGGATTTGGCCGGCGTTCCCCCTCCGGCCCACCCCTGGTGTGGGTGGGCTTCCTACAGACCCCGGCCTCCGGTGCCTCTCCGGCAACCTCTGAGTAGCCTCTGGCCGGCCCCGACAGGCCCGTCGGGGACCTCCCGATTGACGCTTCAACCGCTGGACACTTAGGAGGAGGGATCGCCACTTGGGACCGTCCTAGGACCCAGACTTCTTTCTTATCCCCACCCTTCTGCTGCCCTTCTCACTTCTCCCCACTTCCCGGACAGTTTCCCCAGATCCCTAGAATTCTCATTCCTAAGCCTCTGGCTGGTGCGGGGAAATTCAGAAGCTTGGGGCCGTCCCACTCTTCAGCCTAAGTCAGGGCTCTCTGACTGGGGAGACCGCCTCTCGTGTTAACATGGACGTTTTCCAGGGAGTGGGTCCCACTCCCAGCCCGGACCAGATGTTTGGGGGAGGTTAGGGAGAATGGGGAGGGGGCTGGCAGCTCTTGAAGGAGGTGGAATAAAGAGTGATGCCATTCTACTTATTTTCAGAATGGCCTGCAGGCATCCTGCAAAGTTGTAGTGGATTTGCCTAAAAGGGCTGAACATGTGGATAAGCCATTTCACTAGTGTACTTTTCCAATTGAAACAATGTACAAACCATCCCGCTCCACCTTTTTATTATGTTAAGCTCTAGTGTGGCTGATTTGCTTTTTTTTTTTTTTTTGCCTATGTTTCTTTTTAGTCTTTCTGTAGGTTTCCAAGTGATCAATACAGATGAGTTTTTAGAGCTGACTTTAGGCGAATACTATAGGATTCTTATATAGTATGGGAATTGGACATTGATGCTGGTGGTTCTGTGGATTGAGAGGATCTGAGCTGGTATCACTGGGATGGAGCCAGAAATCTGTTGGAGCTAAAAATGAAGTTTTGGAGAGAGAAAGTAAACTAGGTGATGGAACATCTGCTAACAGAGGTATAAGACTTGGGGAAAAAGTTCTCAGTTCCTCAAAGAACTAAGAGGCAGTGTTAATGCTGCTGTTATTGTTGGTATGGCCTGAAGCGCTGACTTTGCCTTTGCCCATGAGGAGAGGGATAAGTTGTGGACTTAGCAGCTGTATTGGATTTCATCTGCCTTGGAATAGGGAGATTAGATCTGTTGGCATCACTGGAGCTGTCTGAGGATCCTGGTCTCTCTGATGGTGGAGAGCCCAACATCGGCTTGCTGGCACCACAGCCAGATCAGAGAGCGTCCATGGGGAAGCAGTATTATTGGCACCTCTCTGAACCTATCTGCCCACCAGCTTTGCAAAGGGCCAAAAGGATCTGGATCACACATCCTGTGGCTCTCTGCATTTCCCCTAGCCTCCTCGGGGATGGGTGAGTCAGTGATTACTAATGTTCTGTGGCCATCTCAGAGGCTGAGGAGGAGAGCCTGGGACTTGGTGCCCAAGAGAACAAGAGCTCAACTGTTGGGGAAAAGAGTGGGAGGGAATCTGCACTATAGTGGGGGTGTGAAAACCCCCAGTGAGCTGGCATGAGGTAGCCTCAGGAATTGGAGAGAAAGGAGAAAGAGGTGGTCTGGGTGGAGGGCTGCCTTAGGTAGGGGCTGCCTTAGGTAGGGGCTGCCTTAGGTAGGGGCTGCCTTAGGTAGGGGCTGCCTTAGGTAGGGGCTGCCAGGCTATTTGTTGTAAGAGTCAGAACCAGAGTCAATCATGTCCTCATTGGAGCATGGTTGATAAATTTATTTAGTTGGCAAATTGATGGCTTAGTATCTACAAAATGCACATGATGTCCTGGTTACTAGCCAGAGCACCCAGGGAGCCCAGGTTAAGCAGAGGACTGGACCACCCACTCACAAGTCTTCCTTTCTGTATAAAGTTTAGATGTGTTTCCTTGTGGCTTTTATTTTGGTCTTGTTTCTGTGTGCCTGAGCTGCTGCTGATGGGGGGTTGGAACAGGGCAGGCCAGGGCTAGTTAGCTGCCTTAAGAGAGAAGCGGATTTTACCTCACCTTTTCAACACAGGGAAATCATGCTCTCTTGCTAGCTTGAGTTCTGCAGGGGCTCTTGAAGATCTCTTTTCCTCTGCCACTGAAACATGCCCTATACAATACCTTCAGGAACAATACTGGCTGTTGGAGGTTTGACCCTGGAATAGGCACAGGTGTGTTTCTTGAATAGTCAGGAGAAACAAAGTATAGTAGAAAAAGTCTTAGCAGTTGTCTTAATCCGCCTGAGCCCCATCTATAATTTTACAATTTATTTGCAAATTGGAGCTGATAACGCCCATCCTGATGGGACTGTAAGAAATAGGTGAGCCTTATAGGTACCCAGGAGGTACTCAATATAGCTTAGCTGTTTTTCTTGATTGTGTGAAAGTGTCAGACAGGCTGCTCCTTTTTTGCCCTTTCCTTTCTTAGGTTGTCAGTTTCACTGTGATTGATTTTCTTTCAGGAAAAACCAGTATTTGAGGGGTTGTTGAGTGACGTACTGGTGTCCTGGTTAAGCATCTGGACTTGCACATCAAAGTGGGCCCAAGTGCTGGCTCTCCAGTCTTGAGTTAAAAAAGCCTTTGACCTTAAGCAAGTGACTTAATCCCTTTTAGTCTCAGCTTCCCCTTATAAATAGAGATAGTATTGCCACATGAGACTGTGGTGTGGATTTAATGAAACTGAAGGTCAAGTGCTTAGCAGAGTCTGCATCTACTATATGCTCAGTAAATAGTAGCTTTTAAATATGTAGCTCTTAGCAGTGACTCAGATCTGAGACCACTTGTATTTCCCAAAATGGGATTTAAGTTTAGAAATCTGATGAAGCCAGTCTTACAGGATAAGTCTGCTAGTATCAGAAGGAGGGCTGCCCCAGGCCCAGTGTATCTATGGAACCCCCCCCCCCCAAAAGCACCCTGGTTGGGGAAGTTGTATCACTGCTGAGTCAAGACCACGGGCGTGTTCCCATCTTTCTGATGCAGACACATGATCTGACCCACGGCCTGCCTGCAGGCTGAGGTTGGAGAGCTCTGGGGTCTGGGGCCCTGAGGTGATTGTTCCGGACGTTGATCCCAAGAGCCCTAGTCCAGTGCCCTAATCCAGGGCTTCCCTGATGACATGCTAAGTTACTGATCCCTTCATCCCTAGGGATAGCCGAGGTCCCTGATTGGTTCCCTCTGGCTTCTATCATATCCCATATACTGTACAATAGTATTTTCTGGGTGTGCCCTGGTATGAAAATGAAGTTTTGGAGAGAAGAAGTGAACTGGGTGGTGGAATATCTGCTAACAGAGGTTTAAGACTTGGGGAAATAGTTCCCAGTTCCTCAAAGAACTCAGAGGCAGTGTTAATGCTGCTGTTACTGTTAGCAAAGCCACTGTGGCAGTGTGTCCTTGGGATTCTTGCTCACTCACCCTGTCTGAGCAGCAGCTTCCATTCTGTTAAGCATTGTGAAGTTTAGGGATGGGAAGTTTTAGGAGCTCCCCTTTACTGATACTAGGATGTGAGCTGATCTCCAGTCTGATAAAGCCCCAGTCTGTATTGTGGCCCCAGCTAGATTACAGTCCACCCTCAGTTACTCAGAAGCCAGCATTCTGGCCAGTACCAGTCTTCCATAGAGAGGGGAGGCAGAGGGCTGGAGGGCTCTGAAAGGGTAACTGTCTGCCTTTGCTGTGTTGCACCCCGCTTTTTTCTTTGCTGACTTGTTATAGGCTTGAAACCAAGTCTCAGGGTGCTGACGCCAGAAAAAGGCCTGGATGTCCCCCAGAAGGAGGCTCTCAGGGCATGAGGGTGGGGATGCATGACAGGCTGTCCCTGCGGTGGGTCCTTTGCTCCCATTTCCCTGCTGATGACTGATGACTGATGACTTGGGGTTTTGCTGTAAGTGTGGCACTGCTGTGGGAGCTAAACTGGCCCGGGTGCTGGTTGTCTAAGAGGCTTTGACGGGCCTCTTTTGACACAGAAAGGGGCTGGGAAAAAGCTGGACTAAATATCAAGTTCCAAATCGCCATGGTGGAAATTTTTCTCCCAGCCCTGGGGATTTTGATGAATTAGTTAGGCTGGAATAGGATTTGTGGGAAGGAAAGGGCCCTGGGCGGCAGCTGGTCAGAGACCCCTCTTGTGCAGAGGCCCCAGTGAGAAGACCCCAGGCCACAGGGAGGACCTTCATTCCCTTGCCGTTCCCATGTGACCCTGCCGTAGACTTGGGGGCGGTGTTACTTATGAATGTGTGGGGTGGCCTGGAGGGAAGGACTCCGAATCATTTGGGAATGTTTCCAATACTCAGAAGGAGATTCAGGTGTTTTTGTTGATTTCTCTTTTTCTTTTAAAGTAATACACATTCTCTAAAAAAAAGTATGGGTGATTAGAATATTGAAGAAAAACAAAACATCCATTATTTTTTTAGTTCCTTTACAAATATGTTTAAAAACATTTAATTTTTTTCTCTTCATAGGTGATACATATGTATATGCTCACTTTGGGATACTTTTGTTATTTTATAAGTTTTCCCAGGCTATTCATTGTAAACATTTTTAAAATGTGGGTACAATGGTAAATGAATGGACTATTGTGTACTTAGCAATCCCCGTATTGTTGGTTGTTTAGGTCCTTCTGTTTGCTATCCTAAACAGTGCTGTAATGAACATCTTGGTGTACAAAGCCTTTTCAGTATTTAGAGTTTTCCTTAGGATAGAAACCCAAAATTGAACATGCCAGGTTGCAGAATATGTCTTTAAGTTTCTAAATACACATTTCCAAATGGTTTTCTAAAAAAGGAGTGGTGTATGCGTGTTCTCAGAGTGGAAGGTTGAGAATAGCTTCTTTTCTCCTGATTATGAAAATAATACATGTTTATTAAGCAAATTTGGAAGTTAAAAATATAAAAAAATACAAAGTATATAGAAGAGTGTAATGAAGAGAATTAAAATCACCTGTGATCTTACTATCTACTATTAGCATTTAGGATA